GACTGCACTGGCGGGGTCAACACAGGTCGTCGCAAACCCGGGTCAGCCAATAAGCGCGGCCGCCTCGCGGCCACGAGCGGCTCGCTAACCCGGGTCAGCCAGAGGGGGTCTTCGCAGGATGCTGCAGGATCCGGTGCCCTGGCTGACCCCCGTCTGCATTGACCCCCGTCTCAAGGCCCCCGAACCTCCCGGTTTCACTGGTTACTGGGGACGAGGAGGATGCCTTGTCGAGCAGCTGCAGCCCAAAGTCCTGCGCTGGCACGGTGGCAGGAATTGCCAGAGACAGCTGGACAAGATCAGGCCTGAAGGCGCCGCCGAGCGTGCACTCCATGCGGGCTGCGCGGGGTGAGGTCGAATCCCACGGGCCCTCTGGGCGAAGGAATTGTTGTCTTCTCGCTTCCAAGCCCCCTCTTCCCCCTGCTCGGGGTCCCTCCTCTTTTTGACATACACCCCCTCCCCCACCAGACCTCAATGAGGACCCCCCCTCGGCGGCACCCCAGCATACTTTTACTACATGTGCGTCGCACCCCCGGGGGCGACGCGCGCCGCCCAAACAACGGCAAACCCGGGCCTATGACACCCCCTCCGCCGCCATCCCAATCAAAAACCAACGCAAAGTCCACAGTACGACACCGCGAGCACTTTCCAGCCGTTTTTGCCAGGGACGGCTCGGTGCCTTCATGCTGCCTGCAGCTAGCAATGACAATACCACCAACCGTCCCTTGCAAAGACACTCTGCACCGAAATCTGGATCATGCGCGGGCGCCCTGCGATGACTTTGCATTGGTTCTTTGTAGGGGCGGCGGGAGGCACACCCTCCCTTTCAAAAACATGTGCAATATGACTGCGGGCGCACGCGTAATGCGCAACGCTGTCAACCCCGACATCACTTCTCGTTGGTTTTTGAAGAGATTGCCGAGAGGGATCGACACAGCGCCCAATGTGGCGCACCTGGTGCGCGTGGCGCACCTGGCACGTGCGGCGCACCTCGCGGTCGTCGCGCACCTGGCTGGCGTCTGCATTGGTGCCCAATGGTTGTCGAAAACGGCCCCTGTTTATGCTGAGTCTCGGGTGCTAAGTTTAAGTCGGGCGTGTTCCCCTACAGGAGGGATTTTGGACGAAAAATAACAAATATGCAAAAAAAACAAACGGTCCAAAAATAATTTAAATATAGTCCCCAAGCTATTTTTTGACTATTTTTGAAAATTCCTCCTGTAAAGGGACGGGCCCGACTTGACGCTAAGTACTGCTGTAGCGAGAGGGCGGAAGTGTTCGAGACAGCCTGCGGGGCTCCCGCTGGGAGCTTTGCCAGTGCTCCTTGTCAGTAAGCACCCCCTACCCGAAACGAACAGCAACCCACCCGAACCCATGCCACCCCCCACCATCCCATACAAAAGCAACACAAAATCCACCGGCCCTGTCGGCGCGTGTGAGAATGAGTGAGAATGACGGTTTCCCGATGGGGTCGTCGTCCCCGTCGCCGCCCCCCCTTTCCCTGGGCCCCTCGTGTGTGTAAACCTGGAGGCCCCTGAGGCCCCGGGCGTGCGTGGCGAAACCTGCCCCTCCCCCCCCCCCACCCCCGGCACCGCCCCCCTCGGATGCGACTTTGGGCCCGAGGGGGGAAGGGGAAGGGGGGGCAGCCAGCCATCTCACGCGCCTCTGCGCCCTCCTCAAGCGGGGGACGGCGGATTATGTCACCACGTTCTTCCGTTGAAAAAACGCCCCCCAAAAGTCGACAGGGAATCGGCACCAACTCGCTCCACATCGGCATTCGACTGCACCGCTTGGGCCGTCTTGGGTGAAGGGGCCCTGGGACACACAAATGAATACACACAAATTACAGGATCCCCCATATATTCGCATTTGTTCTTGGTTTTTGTCTCCCCCCCCCGTCGCATATTTTCCTATGTTTTCGAGGGAATCGACGATTAATTGTGTCTGTGTGTTTTCCCTCCTGACGACTCACCGCCTCACCCATGTGCGGCCTCCTGCTGCCGTCCGCTCGCTGCTCGGCTCGTCTTGTCCCTGAAGCGAAGCCAGGGTGAGGATAACATCGGGCGAGGATAACCGAGAATCTCTAAGATCCGGCGGCCCTGGAGGATGTCTCGGGCGCCGCAGCCTTCTCAGAGCATTCCAGCACGGATTCATCCTCGTCCTAGCATCGTTCGAGCCCAGCTCTTTCGATTCGTGGGCTACGCGGTCGCTCCTCCTCAGCACGGCTGTCACCGGCCCGTAGTGGAAGCTCGACCACAAGACACTCTCCACAAGAAAACCGACTCTGAGACCCCAAAACGCCCTCTGATGCTTGATGCGGAGACTTCACACTTTTACCTAATTGTTCTCTTTTATTACATCGTAAAACCATCGAACCCCAAAAAAACCGCAGACCTCCGGCCACCACCTATCCCGCCCGAGTCCACTCGGAATGCGGCGCCGCGCCCGTGTCTAGTGCCCCTGGAGGCTCTCTCAAAAGAGCGTCTTTCCAAAGGGTGTCCTATGAATTCTTGCTAGGAAGACGAGGAGGAGGACGAGGAGGAGGAGGAAGACGAGGAGGAGGAGGAGGAGGAGGAGGAGGAGGAGGATACCGCACTGCATCGCGCAGGTACTTAGCCCAGCGCCAGGCAGGCACAGAAGAAAGGAGGTTCGGGAGCCCGAGCCCTCAGGCGCCAGAAAGTCGCATTCCCCCACCAGTAGGATCGCGGGGAGGGCGCTGGCACAGCAGGAAAAAGGAAGGGGAGAAGATGACGCGAAGGTTAGTAGAGCCAAGGGGAGCACTAATCCCCTTCAACCTACGATGAGAAATTCGTGGCCCAGGAGCCTGACCCAGGTGACTTCAGGGGACCGCGCGCGTCTGGCCACACCCAAGAAGAATTTGCAAACACGACGCAGACAGACTTAACAAAAAGGCGGTGCAGTGCATCGGTCATAATCGCCATTGCCGTGGAGAATCCTCAGCAAGTTGCAGGCTGCACCTGAGTTGCAATTGAAGCATGGATAGCAAACGCGAAAGCGGCGATACCAGACAGGGCGGGCATGACCGTGAAATGCACCAGGACCATTGCGTCATCTGTGCACCTCGCGACGAGACTGGGGTCAAAAAAGGGAGAGCTATAAGACCATGTCTCCAAGCTGCGGGGAGCGTGCACTTCAGGCGGGCTCTACCCGTCATCCGACACCGTGCCCCCTGGCACGCTGGGGCTTGCTGGATTTGTGTAATCCCACCAGCCCTCTGGGCACAGGTCGCCTAGAGCGTGTCCTCTTCCAGGTCCTCCCTACCCCTATTCGGGGAGGGTTACCCCCCCATCAGTGGGCCTGGACGGGGGTGGGCCCGGGGGATGGGAGCGTTCAAACCGGCCCAAGATGGCTTCAAAAGCGCCTGCGAAAGCCCAAGATGGCCTCCAAGACGGCTCTAGATAGTCGAACATGGTTCGAGGCAGCGTCCAGCATACCTCCAAGAGGCCCCAAGATGGACTCAAGACGGTCTCAAGTGCTCTCCGAGCTCCCCCATGTTCCCCCCAAGATGCTACAACCATTCAAACACGCAGAGAAAAACACACTGAATTCTCGCCGTTTCGCCTCCGATGGGCTTCTGGGAACTTAGAGTGGCCCCGGAGTGCCCCAATAGGGGCCACAGACGGCCCCGAGACGGCCACAAGAGCGCCCAAGAGGCGCCCAAGAGCGCTCCCCGAAAGGGGCCACGAGACGGCTTTGAGGGCTCTGATGGGGAGGGGCGCCGACTTACGCCGCCCTCTTTGTCGAGCAGCGAAGCCCGAGAAGGCCCTACGAAGGCGCCACGATCCCCCCCAAAACCGAACTTGCCCTGCGACGCACCCAGCCCTGTCTGCCCATGCGGCGACGATGCACAGGACCGATCAAAACAAACGAACGTGTCAAACGACCCGCAGAAGCCAAGGAAACTGGCGACAATTGCGCACTTCGCAGCCCCCCAGGGAATCCGCGAGTTCTCGACTGGGTGCATTCACAACTCCACTCCGCTGGGCCTCCCATGAGCCCACGAAAGTGGAGACAATTGCACACTTTGCAGCCCCCCAAAGAGCCGCGAGGTCTCGACAAGGTGCGTTTAGAACTACACTCCGTTGGGCCTTCCAGGAGCCCACGAGAGTGGCGACACCTGCGCACTTCGCAACCACCCAAAGGAGACGCGAGGTTTTGGCTCGGTGCATTTACAACTCCACTCCGCTGGGCCTCCCAGGGGCCCACAAAAACACAACAAACGAAAGTGGCGACAACTGCGCACTTCGGTGCACCCCAGGGAGCCGCGAGGTCTCGGCTGGGTGAGTTGACAGCTCCGCTGCGCTGGGCCTCTCTGGAGCCCACGGAAGTGGCGACAATGGTGCCCTACGCAGCCACCCAGGGAGCCGCGAGGGCTCGGCTCGGTGCGACTGCAACTCCACTCCGCTGAGCCTCCCAGGAGCCAACGAAAATGGCGACAATTGCACAGTTCGAAGCTCCCGCAAGGGAGCCGCGAGGTCTCGGGTGGGTGCGTTTACAAGTCCACTTCGCTGAGCCTCCCAGGAGCCAACGAAAATGGCGACAATTGCACAGTTCGAAGCTCCCGCAAGGGAGCCGCGAGGACTCCTCAAAGATGGCCCCAAGATGACCCTCAAGGCTCCCAAGCGGGCCCCGAGAGGGCCACAAGAGACGCCCAGGAGGGCCCAAGAGGCCCGCGAAGAAGCCCCCAAGAGGCTCCCACGAGACCCCCACGAGGCGCAAGAAGGCTGCCCCAAGGCACCTAAGATGCTCCAAGAGGCCCCAGGGACCGCCAAGAGGCCCTCGGTACTGCCCAAGAGGATTCCAAGACGCTCGCAAGAGACATCCGAAGAGATCCCGAGAGACATCCAAGAGGCCTCTGACCGTTCTGCTCGCCCTCCTCCTCCTCCTCTCCTCCTCCTCTTCCTCATCTGCCTAGTTCTCCTCGTCCCTCCTCCGTCCTCCCCCCCTTCCCCTGCTCCTCCTCATTCTCCTCCATCCTCCCCTTACGACGGCTTCCCCAAACCTATGATTACGGCAACTCGCCTGGGTCTCCGACTCCGTCCGAGGCCGCGCGGTACAGTTGATGTTGATTTAAAAGGACACGCGAGAGGACACAAGACCCTCGCCGAGGGCCACACTGTCATAGAAATGCAGAGGGCATGGGTCGCGAACCACAGGACACGAGGGTACCCTTGATCCGGCAGGGCCGACCTTAGAAGAAGAACGAACGCCATAAACAAAAACTTTTGGCGCTCCGCGCGGATTTCTTGGATCTGCGCTGGACCCCACTCCCTGGCGCGCTCCGCGTGCCAGTGGCGGCGCCGGAGGCGCCGCCAGGAGGCCCCAGCGCAGGTTCAAGAAATCCGCGCGGAGCGCCAAAAGTTCATGTCTATGGCGTCCTTTCGAGACCTACCATTTTCAACCTCGACTGTACCCCGCTGCTCAAGCAGCTGGGCCTCAGCTGCCCCTCCAACCTGGCGGCCAGCATCGGCGTCGCCCGGCGGCGGATTAGGCGCAGACGTGCTGGCTGACCGCGGCGCCGCGGCGCAGGCCGCCGCGGCGCTCCAAGGGCGCACGGTGGCCGCGCCCGGTGCGGGCACCCTCTGAATGTACCGGCCTTTCCGCGACGGCACGCCCGGAATTCTGACTTCAAGGTTCTGGTGAGATTCACCTGTGCACGATCAGCCGTGTGGACATCCGGAACCTGACCTATCAGCCGAAGATCCAAAGTCCCACACAGTCGCACGCAGGAGAGAGAGAGAGGGGGAGCAGAGAGTCGCCCTGCGCTTCACCCCCCCCCACCCCTCCCTATCGGGTCGGGCGAAAGGGGGGGATAGCAAAGGGGGGGGTTTGAGAATCAGCTCACGAAGCTGATTTTCCCGGCGCCTAACGGCGCCGGGAGCGGCCATGTATCGAGGAATGGGCCCCTCGGTGAGGCCGAAACCAGCTGCACGCAGCAGATTTCGTGACCCCCCCCTTTCCCAATCCCCCCCTTTCGCCCGACCCGACCCGAGGAGCAGAGGCAGCGGCACAGACCTCAGCCTCTGGCGCTCCGCGCGGATCCCGCGCGGGGGGCCCCCCTCTCTGGCGCGCGGAGCGCGCCGGCAGGTCCAGGGGAGCGCGGGGCCCTTCCGCGCTCGTCGAGGACGGGCGGCCTTTCGCGGGCGGGTGGCCGTGGGGGGAGGGCCTCCACGGGGGGCGGAGAGGAGCAAGCCGAGGCCAGGACGAGGACAACCTCGGAGGATGCATCGAACCTCTGAGAGCTGGCGGCTCTGGAGGCTGTCTCGGGCGCCGCGGCCTGGAGCGCTGCGGAACGCTCTGGGGCGGAGTTGTCCTCGCCCTAGCCCCGTCCGGCAAAGGACCCTAACGGAGCCTTTCCGGGCTCCTGTTGGGCCCCCGCCTAAAGGGGCCCTCAAGCCTGAGGGGCCTCTGCAGGGCCCTTTTCTCAAACCCCCGTGTGGATCACCCCCCATTACCGCCCGCCCGACCTGCGGGAGATGCTCTGGCCATGACTCGGCAGATCCTCCTCGCGGTCCTCCTCTCGTCGGCACGGATCGCCGCTGAGACGATTGTGCCCAAGCAGGGTGCAGAAAGGCCGCTCGGCCTCGCCGGCCACAGCACTGTTCCCGTGGAGCCAAAGGCAGGCCATGGGAAGCATCGAGGACTCCACGGAGAGGACGGAGGTGGACTCGATATCAACCGTCTGGTTGCCCACTGCCTTTCCGCTGGCCAGCTCCACCTGCGGCAACAACTCGGGCGCCGCGAAGGCACCGGCCGCGTGCCGGCGTGGCGTGCGGCTGCCCATGCGAGGCTCGGGGATCCGCATGTTGGGCCTCCTGTGGGCGTCGCGTAATAGGGGGGCGATGATTTGGCGGCGCGCACAAGGGGGTAGGGGGAGGGGGGAAGGCTTCTCAGAAGGAGGCTGCTTCTTAGAAGGCGCCGGCGTTGCATCTATAAAGAAGGCCCGCGCCTTCTAAGAAGGGGTGCTTCTAAGAAGCCTTCCCCCCTCCTGCTACCCCCTTCTGCGCGTGGCTGGATGATGGCGGGAGAAAGGTTTACTTTGCGGGCCCTGAAAGCCCCCTCTGGGGCCCTAAAAGGCCTCCTGGGGCTCACAGAAACCCGTAAAGGCATCTTTTCAGCAGCCCTGGCCGCCCCTCGTTTACCACCCCCCCACTTCGCGGCGGCCAACTCCTCATATAGGGAAGGTCTTCGAGAGCCGCAGGTGCCGAACTCTGGGGAGGTAGGAGCGCCCGAGGCCTGCGGATCTGGTTGGGACCGAGGTCGCCGGGGCCCCGCACGGCCCTGCTGTGGCCCATTCCGCAGGGGCAGCTGTGGGCCATGCTGGGAGTCGAGGGCTGCCTCAGTGCGGGCGCCACGCTGGATGCCTCCGCCCACGCCAACGCTGGCCCTGGTGGCTGCTCACCGACATAAGGGAGATTCGCCATCCCTGCGGTGCCTGGAAAGGAGATCCTGCAGGATTGCACAGGGTGCTTCGCCCCAACTGGTCGCCGCTAGGCTCCCTCCCGGTTGTAATAGTGCTTCGCCCAACGGCCGAGCCAGAAACAGCTTGAGCCTATGTTTTGATACGGATTGCAGCCTTGTGGGTGGTGTCGGGAGGCCGCTGGGGCCCTCCGGAGATCTCAGGAGCACCATGGTGGACTGTTGGTCCATCTCTCTGAGACCCCGCGGAGTGCATCGTGGCCCCCCTCAGGTCGTGCCGTGTGGAGACTGCGGGGGCCTATGGGTGCTACGGGGACGTCAGGAGGGAACAGGCTCCCGGGGGGAGACATCGATATGGAATTGGCGATATGTGTGCATCTGTACATGTATATATACATATTTATATATATATATATATGTATAAATATATATGTATATGTGTAGATTTATTTATAACTCTATATATATATATATACACACATATATTTGTGTCGCCGAGGGATCCCCTGCTAGCAGCACTGGACGGTCCTGGGCGGGGCCAGCTCTCGGGCCACCCTCGGCGCCCGCCGGGGCCCTCGGGGGCCGAGGCCTCGCCCCTCCCTTGCCGCCTGCCGCCCCGCTCCCCAAGGAAGGCCCCCGGGACGCCCCCCCAAAAACTTCGGGCGGGCTCCTGGGGACCCGTTGGGGGGAGAGGGAAGGGGGGATAGAAGAGGAGAGAGCAAGCAGGCAACAGAGAGGAGAGGAGGCGGGCGAGAAGGGAGGGAGAAGGGACTTCGTGCGGGCTCCTGGGAACCCGTGGGGGGAAAGGGAAGGGGGGATAGAAGAGAGGAGAGCAAGCGAGCAGGCAACAGAAAGGAGAGGAGGGGGGGCGAGAAGGGAGGGAGAAGGGCGCGAGCCCCAAGCGTGGCAGTCTGCGATCCACGCAGGGCGGCCGGAGGGGAGGGGACAAGGAGGAAGAGGGAGACGATCGTGTAGCCTCCTGGGCACAGCGCCTGATGGCGGCACCGGCCGTACGGCCGTGGCAACAGGGATGTGCGGTAAGGATGAAAGGGCCTCGGAAAGCCACGTTCGCGACTTTCGAACGGGGTTGGTCAGCGGAAACTGCCAAGGATGGGCCGGGGATGCAAGGACAACCGCGGGAGGCTGCTCATCCTTACTCTGCGCTCTGACTGTGCTGTGATGTTCCTGCCCTCCACTGGGCCTGGAGGCGGAGCCATGCTGGGGCTCGAGAGAGAAATCTAAGCACACACGGTCGACGGCCCGCGCGGATTTCCTGGATCTGCGCTGGACCCCCCCTCCCTGGCGCGCGAAGTGTGCCGGGAGCGGCGACGGCGGCGCCGCCAGGGGGGGACCCAGCGCGGATCCAAGAGATCCGCGCGACGCTCCAAACATTTCTGCTCGTGCCGTTTCCTTCCTTCAAGTTGAAGGAAAGAGAGCTATGCACATACACCGATTCTGGCCAGGCCCATCCTGAGCCCAGGATCGGTGCATATGCCCGACTGCCGTGGCCAGGAAAGCACATGCACGGATCCTGGGTCAAGGATGGGCCTTGCCAGGATCGGTGCATGTGCATAGCTCTCTTCGCCGGATCGAGTCACTGAAGGGGCCCTGGGACACACAAATCAATACCCACAGATAACAGGATCTTCCCTATTTTTCCATAGTTTCAGGGCTTTTGGCTTCCCCCCCCCCACTTCCCATGTTTTCTGGGGAGTGGACGAAGAATTGTGCCTCTGTGTGTTTTTGTTCCCCTCCCGGGAACATTATTTCGAACGGGGCCCTCTTGGGCCTCCCTGAGGCCGTCTTTGGGGCCTCCTGGGCCGGCTTTGGGGCCTCTTGGGCCGTCTCGGGGGGGTCCGTCAGCCACACAGGACAACCTTTTTTGGCCGTCTTGGGCCCCCTTGGGTCTCTCTTGGGCTGTGTTGGGGCTCCGCGGGGCTGAAGTCATGCCGGGGCCCCGGCTGGTCCTGGCCGGGCCGGGGTGCCTCCTGCGCAGAGCGGGCTCTGCACTCGCGCCCCGGGCCAGGAGCCCCGGCGTGCGGGCGCCCTCCGTGGGGCCCCCGAGGCCCGACCTCTGCCGCCCCCTCTGCTGAAGGGGCCCCTGGGGCACACAGACCAATACACACAGGTAGCAGGCGTCCCTCGTAGTTTCCCATGTTTTCGCGTTTTTTGCCGTCCCCCCCACTTCCCATATATGTTCCCAGATCTTCTGGGGAATCGACGATTACTCGTGTCTGTGTGTTTCTTTCCCTGCTGAAGAGATGCCGCGCCCGCCGCCCCCGCCAAAGGATCGATCCGGCCCGACAAAGATGGCGCAGAACAAACGGGCCTGGGGTTAAGTCTCCCCCTACAGGGGGATGTTCGACGAAAATGCCCCCGAAGTGTCCAAAAATAGTCTAACAATCGTCGCCCGACTATTTCCTTTTTCTATTTTTGAATATCCCTCCTGTAGAGGGACAGGCCCGACTTAAGGCTGGGGCTCGGGTCGCGATGTCTCGCGATGTTGCGCTCTTTTTGGCAGCGTCGGATCTCAAGGGCCTCAGTACGTGGGGAGACCAGAAGGCACCGATACCGCTACTCTCGGGAGCGGCCAAGAGGGGGGTGTCCAAGAGGGGGGGGTGCAAATCATGACCGGCGGCATGTGCGCGGCCCAGCGGGGGGGCCAGGAACGTAATGAAACAGGAAGAGGCGCCATGAAATCTGGGGAACTGTCATGGCCCACGCCATGATGTCTTCCCCCCCCCCAGTCATCACCCCCCTCTTTGCCGCCCCCGAGGAGGCACCGATACCGCTACTCCTGGGACCTCTCCCGGGGTGCGCTCTGACCAGGATTTCGAAGCGAATCCAGCGGTGGCCACGAGGGCCCCCCAGGGGGCCCAAAGGGGGGAGAACGGGGAAAGGGTAGAATGAAGGGGCCCCTGGGACACACAAATAAATACACACAAATAAAAATATGCCCCATAGTTTCCCATATGTTCTGGGTTTCTGTCTTCCTCCCCACTTCCCATTTCCCAATATTTTCTGGGGAATCGAGGATTAATTGTGTCTGTGTGTTTTTTCCTCTCCTGATAGAAGTGCTAGCTGTTCCTCCTCTGAGTGCGAACGGGACGAGACCTGGAGCAAAGGGGTCTTGAAGTCGTGCACCCTTTCGAGCCCCGCTGTGCCCTCCGCGGCCCTCCAGGGGCCGCAGGGACCCTCGAGGGCGGCCAGTCACGCGGAGCTGGTCCCGGGGAAAGCCCTGGGGTCCCAGGCGCGTTTCTCCCTCGGTGTCCGCTTCCTTCGTGGCGGCATTTCCCTGCCAGTGGCGCTCGCCCTGCGCCACGAATCCAGGCGGTTGCGCACTGTTCCTGTTGCAGCGCGCCCAGGCGCACTGCAGTTCGGGAACGAGAAAGAGACAGAGAGGGAGAGATGGGAGAGAGAAAACAGCGAGCAACAGTTGGGTTGGGCACGTCGTTGGCCCACAGCACGTTCTGTTCTGCAACTGCGACTGCGAGTGCAGCAGAAACAGCAGCACCGACGGCAGTCCCAGACATCTGGCGCTTCGATGCTGTTCGATGCGTGGGCCTCTGCACCGATCGGCCCCTTCCCTGGGGCCAGCGTGAAGTCGGGCCTGTCCCCCTACAGGGGGATTTGCGACGATAAATAGAACATACCAAAACAAATACCCCAAAAAGGTATAAAAAAGTCCCCAGGCTACTTTTTGATTACTTTTTGACTATGTTGGGGGTATGTTTTATTTGTCGTCGAAAATCCCCCTGCAGGGGGACAGGCCCGACTTAAGGCCAGCGGTCGACGCCCCCGAGGCCCGAGCTCAGCAGCAAGAGGCCGAGAATGACGACAGCCTGGCCGATGGGATCCTCAAGCACGAGGGGGTCAACATAACTGAAGGGGCCCCAGGACACACAGATAAATACACACAAATCAAAGGATTCCACATATTTTCTGGGTTTTTGTCTTCCCCCCTACTTCCCATATTTTCCTATATTTTCTGGGGAATCGACGATTCATTGTGTCTGTGTATTTTTTTGCCTCCTGAATAACCTCAGACCCCCAGATCGGGCGGGCGTTGCTTCAGGGGGGGGAGGTCGCACACACGCGGAGGGGGTAGACTCTTGCACCATCTGTTCCCCCTCAGGGCTCCAGGGGGCCCCGAAGGGCCCCCCCGAAGGCCCCCCTGAAGGCCCCTCTCTTGCAACCCTCGATCTCCCCCGATTTAATGCCCCCCCACACTACAAGATGCCCGACCAGAGGTCTGGACCACGTCCCCAGGACCAGCGCTTGGTCCTGTTGTTTGACGGTCCCAGGGCCTGCCAGGGCCTCGCGCAAGCCAAAAAACTGTCCGACCCGATCGTTTCACACGACGCGAGGGGGCCGTCTGGGTCGCCGGATGTCTCAACGGGGGGGTATGGCGACCCCAATTCCGGACGATGGGACTCCAGACTGGACAAGCAAGGGTTGGGCCACACTCTGGGAGAGACACGTCGTTCCGTCGGCGGCGAGGCCGAGGCAGCCCGCTCCAGCGTGCGGCTGTTCCGGGCAACCGAGAGGCAAATTGACCGGCGTGCGAGAGGAAGGAAGGAGACGAGAGCGGCCGCGCGCGGGGACACTCTGGGAGACAGTGGGGGCCCGACCCCAGGAGACCTTCCACGAGAAACCCAACCCTGAGACCCCAGGACGCCCATCGATGCTCGGTGTGGGAGCGCCACGTTTTCCGTCGCCAGGGTGCTTCTTGGCACGGGCCTCCACTGCACACGACAGGGGGGCGCCCATCGTCGACAGGGGTGCGCCCGAGCAGCCCACAGAGCGGCCCCATGCCTGGGGGGGGGGAACGCGGGCACTCGCCATCGCTCGGACGGCCACTCCCCGTGCGCGCTCCGCCTTCGTGCGTACACGTCGGTCGGAAGAAGTAGGTAAAAGCATGAAGTAGGAGGGCGGATTAAGTTGATTGGGTCCACGCCCCCCCAGGGAATAACAAAATACAGCAAAAGCGTGCCGATTCATGAAGTAGGAAGACGCTTGAAGTAGATTGGGATCTGGGAATCCAGACATACCTACTTTCAACGACCGGCGTGTGAACTTCTGCCGCAACCGGCGACCCGAGGGGTCGGCGGCAAGCCCCGGAAGGAGTGAGAGGGGGCGGGCCTTCTGAGGAGGTTCTGGAGGAGGAGGAGGAGGATGAGGTGGAGGAGGAGGAGGAGGACGAGGAGGAGGAGAGGAGAGGAGGAGAGGAGGAGGAGGAGGAGGACGAGGAGGAGGAGGAGGAGGATGCGGGAGGAGGAGGGGGGAGGAGGAGAGGGGAGGAGGCGGAGGAGGAGGAGGCGGAGGGGAGGCAGAGGAGAGAAGAGGGTAGGAGGAGGAGGAGGAGGAAGGGAGGAGGGGGGAGGAGGAGGAGGCGGAGGAGGAAGGGGGGGAGGAGGAGTAGGATGAAGGAGGAGGAGGAGGAGGATGGAGGAGATGTGAGGAGGAGAGGGGGAGGAGGAGGAGGAGGAGAGGAGGAGGAGTAGGAGGAGGCGGAGGAGGAGGGCGAGGAGGAGGAGGAGGAGAGGAGAGGGAGGGGGAGAGGGATGGGGGCGGAAGGATGCGGAAAATAACGGGAGGAGCGAACAGGAGGCGGCGGCGGACGGGGCCTGAGGGCGCACGGGGAAGCCGCGGGGGAGGCGCAGCGGTGGCGTCTCAGGGGCCCGAGGGGCAGGCGGCGGGAATGGGATGCGGAGGGCTGCAGGTAGCTGGGGGAGGAGAGGCGGGGAGGACCCAACGGGGGGAGCGGGGGAGGAGGATGAGGGGGAGGAGGAGGAGACAGAGAGCCGCTCGGAGGGCGCGAGGGCTCCTGAGAAGCCCGGCCGCCGTCCGAGAAGGCCTGCTCAGTCTCAATTCCCTCTTCGGCGCGCCGCCGAGCCTGGTTTCTTCGGGCCCCAACGCGGGCTTCCAGCGGTTTCTCGGGACGATCCGAACCTGGCCATCGCTCGGACGTCCATTCCCTGTGCTTTTTTTAGTTTCGCGCGTGGTTTTTCCGCCAAATGATCAAGGATGCTCCTCGATGGTCCTCGCCGAAGGAAAAATGCACACGTCCGAGCGATGCCAAGGAACACCCCTGGAACGCTCTCGGCGAGGCGCAGCTGCTGGAACGCATCCCGAGGCTGGAAAGCCGCCAAGCACCGAGGACGGCGCCCCGAGATCTCGCGCCTCGCTCGCCGCCGAGAGGGACGCTCCTCGAGGGTCCTCGCCGAGAACGAGCGCGCAGAGGCGCGAGCGAGGCCACTGGGCACGGGGGGGCGAGAGGGGGGAGACGGTCGGGGGCCTGCGGACTGCAGGTCGATGCAAGCCCGGGCCAGTCGGGCCTTGAAGAGGATCCTGCAGGATCCTGCAGGACCCTGCGGGAGCCTGCACCCGAGCCCGGGCCAGTGCGACCCCGTCGGCTACACGCAAGAGCGACCCTGGGTGAGAGTGACCTTTGCTGCGCGGCTTTTGGGGGGCCGAGGGGGGACCAAACCTGGGCGCGCAAGCCGCTGCTCCTGCTTCGTTGTCAGCCATCTGGGGACCCATCTGTGCCCGCACCAAAGGTCACTCCGGCGAAAGGTCACTCTTACTTCTAGCCGGCCCTTGCCCTGCAGGATCCTGCAAGACCCGGCGCTCTGACCGACCCCCATTTGAATTGAGCAGGAACCGACCGTCCCGGCATTCCTATAGTCCTACCACGAAAGGCTCTGAGAACCCCAAAATGTTCTGAGAACAAAAACAATGTTCTTAGAACATCAGCCCGATGTGATAAAACAAAACCATATCCGCCAGAAATGTTATCAGAGCACTTCGTGGACACCACGAACGGTTCTTAGCACATTGTTTGGTAGGGCTATATGACGGGGCCCTGAGACACACATATAAATGCACACAAATAAAAGGATTCCCCAGATTTTCCCATATTTTCTGCGTTTTTGTCTTCCCCCCTACTTCCTATATTTTCCTATATTTGGGGGGGGAATCGACGATTAATTCTGTCTGTGTGTTCTTCCCCTCCTGACTATAGGCGAGCCAGGACGCTTCGCCACTGCTTGAGTTTGCATCGACCCCTCCCTTAGGCCCCGAGACGGCGAGGCGAGGCGCTGGCCGGCGCTGCCGCCCCCGCGGGCGGCGGCCTCGCCGCGAGCGCGTCGGCGAAGCCGCGGAGCTCCTGGGGGCGAACACCCCCGGCCGCCGCGTTCCCGGCCACGCCGCCCGAGCCCGCCCTTTGGGGGGGCAGCCTCCCGAGGGGGCCCCGGGTTGTTCTGGCCTCCTCCTCCTCCTCCTCCCCCCCCCCCTCCCCGCCTCCTCCCCTCCTCCCCATCCCCCCCTCCTCCTCCTCCTCCTTCCTCCTCCTCCTCCTCCTCCTCCTCCTCCTCCTCCCTCCGTCCACTCCCTACCCCCTCCCGTCCCTCCGCTCCCTCCCTCCTCCCATCCCTCCTCCCTCCCTCCCTCCCTCACCTCCTCCCTCCCTCCTCCCTCCCTCCTCCTCCTCCTCCTCCCTCCCTCATCCTCCCTCCTCCCTACCTCCCTCCTCCCTCCTCCCTCCTCCCTCCTCCCTTCGCCACTATTTACACAATAATAACTCGTCCCACTTCCCCTAGGATGGGTCCCGAATATATACGACACCCCCCCTGCGTACTGCTTTTACACCGGATTTCCCGGGAAAACGGTTTTCCCGCTTGCGTTGTGTTTCACAATGCTGTCTCGCTGATGCAACCGCTTCATTTCTGCTACCCGAAATAGTCCGAATCGTGCTCCCGCTGCAGCGTGGGCCTCATTTTCGGATCGGTGTTTGGCCTCCGTCGTTCAGGATGGTGTTCTCGCCCCAGCGCGGGCCTCTTTCTCGCGCGCCCATCCGCCCGCCACCACCGCGCCGAAACAACAACCACCACCACCACCACCACCACCACCACCACCAGCACCACCACAACCACCACCAGCACCAGCACCACCACCACCATCACCAGCGGCACCACCACCACCACCACCACAAGCACGCACACACGCACGCACGCACGCACGCACGCACGCGCACCACCACCCACTACGCACGCGCGCGCGGAGCCACAGGTCCGCTACGACACGCGTCCGCGGATAGAGAAAATCAGCGCCATGGTAAGGGATGGGAGGGAGGGGTAGGACGTCAGATATGACGCGAGCGCACCTAGCCTGCCCCTCCCCCCTCCCTCCCTCCCACCATCCCTCCCACCCTCCCTCCTCCCTCCTCCCTCCTCCCTCCTCCCTCCTCCATCCCCCTCCATCCCCCTCCTCTCCTTCCTCCTCCCCTCCTCCCCGCCTCCTCCTCCTCCTCCTCCTCCTCTCCTCCTCCTCCTCCTCCTCCTCCTCCTCCTCCTCCTCCTCCTCCTCCTCCTCCCCCCCCGCTCCGCCTCCTCCTCCTCCTCCTCCTCCTCCTCCTCCTCCTCCTCCTCCTCCTCTCCTCCTCCTCCTCCTCCTCTCCTCCTCCCCCCCCCCGCCTCCTCCTCCTCCTCCTCCTCCTCCGCCTCCTCCTCCTCCTCCTCCTCCTCCTCCTCCTCCTCCTCCTCTCAGACCTAACGGACACCCTGTCATCCACAGAACAACGGGTGCCGACTACAAAATTGGGTTTCCCAGGAGGAACTCAGCTGGCCAGGGGCAGGGGGCAGAGGCGAGGGAGAGGGAAGAAAGGACGAGAGGAAAGGGGAAAGGCAGGCCCAAGCCGAATTTTGGTCCCAGGAAGAAGCCTCTTGAGGAGTTTGGTCCGTTCCGATCTCTTCCTCTGGGGCTCGCAATTACCCAGAAGACGGACTGAGGCATTGCAGGTTGCAAAGCCGCCACAATGTACACAAAGTGTGACAAAGACATCTGTCCCAACCACACGGGCCCAGTGCAAAACATGGTGATCCCCATCTTGTCCCCGCAGCAGCGAGGTCATGGTCGGGTTCAAATCAGCACCGACTGTAGTGGTGGCTGGGGTAACAGCTCGAAGGCAACGGGAGCAGCGATGCTGATCCCCGTGTGGAACCTGTACATTATGGCTCTTGTCACGAGTCGGCGCATTGGTCTTCTCGGGCATTCGAACTCTCTTGAATTGGGCTCCGAACGGGGGCCACACTTGCAGGATGGACGTCATCCCTACGACAACACTGCTATACTCGACCTTCGCTCTTTCAAAATCCAACAGCTCCTGGGGGCAAAGGTTATGGCACTGGGCAGCAGTCGTGGCCCAGAGGTCGGCAAGGTGCGGCCCCATAATAGCACAACGTTCGGCATCATCTACTGCTTCACTATAGGCCCTGTGGGCCCTGATCTTGTTCAAGGTGGCCCACGGACCTTCACGAATTTTCCTGAAAATCTTACGCAGGAAGAAAGACTGCCGTCCTGAGCCCTCCAGGAACTTGGTGGGGTCCCGAGTCCTAGGAGGAGCGCAGCACAGTCAGCAGAAACAGGCTTGGGGACACAACCTTCAGCAGGGTCCTCTCTACGAAAGATGCTGACAGCAAGCGCGCCATGCTCAGCGTCGTGAGCCGTCTGGCAAAACTCCGCGGGAAGCGGAATTCCTCTTCCTCCTCCTCCTCCTCCTCCTCCTCCTCCTCCTCCTCCTCCTCCTCCTCCTCCTCCTCCTCCCTCCTCCTGCTGCTCCTCCTCCTCCTCCACCTCCTCCTCCTCCTCCTGCTCCTCCTGCTCCTCCTGCTCCTCCTGCTCCTCCTGCTCCTCCTGCTCCTCCTCCTGCTCCTCCTGCTCCTGCTCCTCCTCTCCTCCTCCTCCTCCTCCTCTCCTCCTCCTCCCCACCCCCCTCCATCTGCTTCCTCTTCCTCCGCCCTCCTCCTCCTACCTCCTCCTCCTCCTTCCTCCTTCCTCCTTCCTCCTCCCTTCCTCCTCCTTTCCTCCTTCCTCCTTCCTCCTTCCTCCTTCCTCCTTCCTCCTCCTCCTTCCTCCTTCCTCCTCCCTCCTTCCTTCTTGCTCCTTCCTCCTTCCTTTTTCCTCCTTCCTCCGTCCTCCTTCCTCCCCTTCCTCCTTCCTCCTTCCTCCTTCCCTCCTTCCTTCCTCCTCCCCTCCCCTCCCCCTCCCCCCCTCCCCCCCCCTCCCCCTCCTCCCCCTCCTCCCTCCTCCTCCTCCTTCCTCCTCCTCCTCCTCCTCCTCCTCCTCCTCCCCCCCTTCCTCCTCCTCCTTGGGGGCCGCCGCCTCCCCCCTCCGCCCGGGTTCGCCCTTGGGGCCCGCCCTTGGATTGGGGGCATCCTCTCGGGGGGGGCTCAGGGCCGTTCTAGCCTCATCCTCCTCCCTCCCCTCCCCCCCTCCCCCTCCTCCTCCTCCTCCTCCTCCTCCTCCTCCTCCTCCTCCTCCTCCGCCCTGGGACGCACAAAGAAGCAGTCATAGATCCCGGGGCTCCCCAAAAGTTTCTCCTAGTTTCCGGAGGTTCGTCTTCCCCACGACTCCCCGCAGGTTCCCACATGTTTATCCTGGGAGTCGACGGTCACTTGTGTCTGTGCCTATGTTTTAGCGGCGCGCAACGGGGAGTAGGAGGAGGGGGGAAGGCCTCTTAGAAACACCCCTGCTTCTTAGAAGGCCCCGACCTTACGTCTAATAGAGAAGGGCAGCGGCTTCTAAGAAGCGGGGGTGCTTCTAAGAAGCCTTCCCCCCTCCTCCTACCCCCCTTCTGCGCGTGGCCGATTTTTTCCCTTCCAGACTGGCTCCTCCTTCCTGCCTCGTTCTCGGTCCCCCTTCCCATGCTCGCGTCCCTCCCCCCCTCGTGTTTCTCGCTCTCTCGTGCCGCTTCCTCCGTCCCTCCCCGCATCGTCCACCACTCCGCCTTCCCCTTGTCCACTCTCTTTTTTGGGTAGGGGGCGCGCACGAGGGGGGTAGGGGAGGAGGAGGAGGAGGAGGAGGAGGAGGAGGAGGAGGAGGAGGAGGAGGAGGGGGATGGGGGGATGCTTCTTAGAAGACGGCTGCCTCTTAGAGGGCGCCCGCCCTGCATCTGCAGATGAGGCTCACGCCTCCTGAGAGGCAGCCTCCTTCCAAGAAGCCTTCCCCCACTACCCCTTCCCGCCCCCTCCGCCTGGGTCCTCCCGAGCCATCGTGGGCTCCCCATGGAAGAGGGACGAACTGCATGAACACAGACTGGCGTACAGTCGAGGCGTTGACCTAAGGAACCCTAAATAAGGAACGAGGCCCCTTTTTTCCAGAAGTTCAACCTCGATTTCCCATCTAAAACCTCGGGGACACCCGAGGCAAACTTTGAAACAATCAAGGAACACCGAGCCCCTCGGCAACGAAAAGGGTTACTTCCTCAGCGCCCCGACTGTAGGCCCGCGCGGACCTCATGGTTCGGCGCTGGGGGGCCCCTGGCGCGCGAACGCGCCCGCCAGTGGACCGCAGCACCAGTGAGAACTCCGCATGGAGCTCCGCAAGTTTATGTTTACAGTCGGGGCGTTGACCTAAGGAACCCTAAATAAGGAACGAGGCCCCTGTTTCCCTTAACTGAAACTTCGGCTCCCCATGGAAAACCTTAAACTTCGGTTCCCCATGGAAAACCTAAGGAAAACCCAAGGCAAACTGTAAAACAATCAAGGAACACCTAACTCCTCCCCAACGAAAAGGGTTCCTTAGTCAGCGCCACGACTGTATGCCCTTTGACTCCAGTCAGCCGCCAGCTGTTCCCACAAACACGTTGTGGCAGCGGCACATTGAGTCCAAGAAGCGATAGAGACAGCGGAGGGACGCATCGGCTCCGCATTGGGCACATGGGGAAGAAGGAAAGGACGCGGCGGGGGGGGGAAAGCCGCGGTCGGCGCAGCACGTTCAGACCGTGAAGATCTTGCACGTGTGTGCCTGGGCACAGGCTTACACGGGCAGCGACCCCCCAAAAAAGACATGCCTCGCGCCTCTCGGCAATGAGCACAGTGTGAGCCAGGCAGCCACCAGGCAAACCCAGAACACCACACGGGCCGACCTGCAGCGGGCAAGCTCGTGCAGAGGCAGCTGCCCAGACATCCAGCGCCCCACTGTTTAATCCCAATCATCCTGTTGTGTTGGGTCCTCGTTTTGAAGAGACAACGCCCCGCGTTCTCTTGCCTTACCGTTGCCCCCTCCCTCCTCACATCGTCGTCATCATCATCAACAACATCGTCAACACCATTGTCTTGCTGTTTTTCCCAACCATCCTGGAGTGTTGGGTCCTCGTTTTGAAGAGAC